AGGGAGGCTCAGTCCAAGAAGTCTCAGTCGTCGTTCTTAGGAAGGAAAGTAAGCCTCTTACTTCTTACCTTGTCCGATCGTTTCACACGTCCACACGCAGTATACTTTACCGGGGTGGAATGTAAAAGACGGTTTTCTAAACCCTTTTAACCAGGCACACGTTTCGTAACACCCCTAAAATTCTTGCCTCAGATGTGTACACGTCGGAGCTTTACAGGGCGTTGTTTCCATACGGCCGGAGACATCTTAACGGTTCATTACGACCTGTAACCCTTGTCAGGAAACCGCCGTGGGCTCCTGCATCATAGGGAACTTTATCACCGAGACCTCGTCCGAAAGGAGCTGTCTAACTCTTTGTGGTGTGACCACGTAGGGGTTTTACAAAGGCCACAGCCATCAAGGAAGCGTCCTCGACATTGAGAAACACCCTCAGTACATTTCCACTTTCCGAACAGGAAATGCACGCAAATAAAATATTTTATATTATTAAGGTACAGCGCCACTTTCCGAACCATTAAGGAATTCTTGTGTACACAAAACGACAGGGAAAACCGTTTTAAATGTGTGTTTCCTGTATGGCGAATACAGCTGCTTTATTTATGTCTGTATGAAGTTGTTGTGAGTGTGGAGGGAGCAGCTACAGGTTAGCTTAGCCTGATCGGTCAGTGGCCTGTACTACGGAGCCAGTTCTACAGACCCTGGATATCTCTGAGTTATCTGGCTTAACCAACCCTAACAAGCGAGATCCCGCTAAGCGGTCCTACGACCATACTTGCCAACCTTGAGACCTCAGAAATTGGGAGCATTTCAAGCTGTTAGCGCCGGAGCCTCGCAGCGGGGAGACAGACTTTTAAAGATGAAAAGAACATCTACACATACTTATTGTAGTTGTAAGTGCAATGCCTTGCTGCCTGTAGCACCATCCTTGATGGAGCATATGTGTGGGCTGGACCTGTATTTTACAGGAAAGGAGTGAGCAGAGGGTAGAGTTGGCCTTTCTTGTTCTGTTTTCTGTGACTATCTTCCTCACCATTCTGAACAACCTCTCAGACTTTCAGTTGCGCGCGCTACTAAAGAGACAAGCTACCATGGAAACCAATCAATGGTGTACCTGTATTAAAGTCAGAGTGGAAACATTCGTGAGTAAATCTGATTTTGTCAGAAATGCGGGAGAAATATGACCCTGTGAGGAAACCGGGAGAGGGCAATGAAATCGGGAGTCTCTCGCGAAAATCGGGAGGGTTGGCAAGTACGTCTACGACGCTGGTTATCAGCTCGGTAAATCAACCCAGGGTTTCTCTGTCCGGCCGAGAGCGCGTTCACGTGAAAGGGACGGGGTGAGCAACAGTTGACCAATCACAAACATGGACAAGCCTACTGAGAGCGCAGCGTCATACTCCGTGAATGAAAAGTCAAATATAGTAGACAAATATGAAGAAGTTAAACTTTAAACATCCATGACTTAAACATTTAATCCAGGATAAAGCAACATAGCTGCACCTGCAAGGAGAATACAGAACAGCTGGTAAAAAAAAACGACTGAGTGTTTGAACGCGTACATTAACAGGTTTATGATATCACTGCCCCGTCTAAGACACGAGTGGATCTGACTTTAATTACATTTGGCTCAAGTGTTTCGTCAACTTAATGTGTTGTTTGAAATAACACTTCTGCATACAGTGTGTGACACTGTAAGTGTTGCACGGTCAGATACGGCTCGAGAAGCTGACTCAGATGAATGAGGCGAGTAAACACAGCTGACAGCCGCCGTAAAACTCGAGCGATTATTCGCATCGCGTCCGGTGTGAACGCACCATTATAAGTATATCATTATATAATTACAAAATAAAATCGCCACTCTCAGTACAGCGTCAATTTGCACGCAAATACAATCTTTTATATTATTATTAATAATATATATCTTGTATTTTAGTTACACCCGCTATTGATTAATTTTGTCAACATTGGACCTTGCTGTTTATTGTATACGAAATGGAACACATTTGTGCATTGAAAAAAAGTGTGACTCCTTTTGCGGGTCATGAAATACAAGTGTGAATCCTTCTGTGTGCATTTGTGTATTATGAGACTGTTCTGAGCCCATAGATATGAGGCATGGCTAGAATGGGTGATCTGTTTGGTTTGTTGAGCAAAACACTTTAGACATGTTTTTCATATATCTGAAACCTATGCTATTGCCTAAAAATAGCATGATAGGTGACCTTTAATAGTATTTTAAATACTGGTGCATCTATATGTACGTGACTATAAGGACCAAGAAGGAAGACAGTCATACTCGACTACGAGTGACCGCCGATGATGATCTGCTGGGTAGCTTGTACATTTTAAGATGTATCATGCATGAACAACTCTTAATAGCTGAAATTCATTAAATTGATAACGATCAATCAACCCAACTTTAACTTACCCCTTTGTAGAGGTTCACCTCCAGAGTCTCATTGTTCAGAGGGAAGAGATGTGAGTGAGGACTTCCCGTTTGATTGCAGACGTTGTACTGGAATAAATCAATTAAAAAAACACATCTGTAGCCAAACAATACATACATAGATACACATATACAAATATTTCCTTAAGATTCCCGCTTATTACACTATAAGAGCAGCCGCAGAGATACTCACCACTTCTTCGTTTGTTCGCTCATAGAAAGCCTCGGCGAACACGGCCACCACAAACACGTTGATGAGGAAGGAGATGAAGAGCGCCACGGTCGACTCTATGAAGTAGTATTTGTTGGCCTCCTTTACTTCTTTCTTGTTCGACCGATCCACTTCTCGAGACTGAAAGGACATTTGGACACTTAATGATTTACACAGGAGAATTCAAAAATGAAGATTTAACTGAACAGCTATGGCTCAGGAGATAGATGCTCGTCCTCCAACTGGATGATCGGTGGTTTGATCCCACTGTTGATGTGTCCTTTGGCAAGAAAATAAACCCCAAATTGCCGATGTGTGAAAGTGTGTGAATGTTAGCTTCCCAGAGCAGGTGGCATTTTATATTAAAGCTTCTGCCTCTGTGCGAATGAATTATTTAACGAGGCCCTATTAAGCTGTTTGGGGTGTTCCCTTTCCTGTAGTAGTGTGTTATATAGGTTTTTGTGCATGTAAATGGTCTGCAAAGGCCCAAATCCCAAAGCTCCCTCCAGAGTGAGTTTCTCTCCCATACACTTGTGACAGAGGGATTCATACAATGTGCCACCTGCTTGTTAGAAAATATTAACATTCACACACACTCACACACACACCGCTGGCCCTCCGGAGATACCTGGGGTTCAGTTTTGAGCGCAAGGACACTTTGACATGTTCCATTTTGACTGCAGGAGCTGGGGATTATACCATTTGATCTCACCTTGACCAGAGCAGAGTGGAGGTATATGTTGTGAGGCATGATGACGGCCCCCACGATGCCGACGGCCTGAGTCATCTGAACCGGGCCGCAGCCCTCGCAGCCCGGCACGAACATCCCCTTCAGCAGCTGGCCCTGATCCGGACCCACCGTCACATACTGAGAGAGAGAGAGAGAGAGAGAGAGAGAGAGAGAGAGAGAGAGAGAGAGAGCAGGGCATGGGCCGATGTTTATGAGATGCAAATTACAATCAACCATAAAGAAACAAATTCAGAGCAGCATTATCCTGCAAGTACATCAGCTTCAAACACATTTTTCTTTTGTATTTTAATGGTGACTATGTAGCAGTTTGCGATTGTTCTTTAAATTTGATGATGGAAGATGTTTAAACTGAGAAGGAGTCGCAAAATTAGGCCAGATTTGACTACAGAATGAAAGCAGAAAGGTCGCTCAGAAATGTCAAAAAACCAAATTACACAAGTTTACACTTTAACATCGGACATCGAGCAAAGATCTCCTCAATTCCCAAAAACAGAAATATATATTCTAAAGCATTTTCACAGCCTCAAAGAACCACATACTAGATATATATGTTATACAGAGTAAAAGCAAAAACTAACTAAATCACTTCAATCAACAAAACTAAATGTGACTATTGGAAGCATAACATAAATTGGCTGTGAGCTTAGATTTAAAAAAGCAAGAAAAAAAAGAAGAGATTACAAAAAAGTAAGAGAATTGAATCTATAATCAGGGCTGTGGCAATATCAGATTTGTTAGATTACTTAGTTGGGTAGTCAAAGCAAGACAACTTTTTCTTTTTCTATACTTGAAATCATATTTTATTGTTTGTTTGTGCCGTATTTCAACTTTCTGAGGGCAAATAGCTACAACCCTAAGATAAGTACTGACACTATGCGTTTACTTGTTTTCACATGTGAAATGTAGGTGCCTTGACCCTGCCATTTATTATCTGTGGTTGAACTTTTGGGGATTTGAATGAAGGGGATAAGTATAGTATAAGCCACACCCTGGCAGTGCAAGTAAGAACTTGTTTACTTTCTATTAAATCTAGTTGTTCTTACTGTTCTTGAGCCGGTTTGTATCATTCAATATTGGTGAAAGGCCTCAGAATTATTAGGTTGGATGTTATATAACAAACTGACTGACAGGCAAATAAATGTTGATGTAGGGAAAGGAGAAGCGTGATAAAGAATTTGTTTTATTCAGTCTTGTCTGCAGATATGTAAATGTGTTTACCTCATATCCGAAGGTGATGGCCATGACGGTGATGAGCAAACCGAAGAAGGCCTCCAGCTTCCTGAGGCCTGCACGGACAGAAATGAGAAATGTTTGAATTCATTCTTGTTTTAGCAACATATCTTACCGTGAGAGCACGAGCACAACAAACCGTATTTGTCCAAGAAGAGGAAGACGAAGGTGTCGATGATGGTGATGAGAACGCCTCCCCACAACGGGATCCTAAAGGTGGACAAACACACACACATTGGGAAAACAGTAGTATTAAAGCCATTTAAAAGCATGTTTGAAACAGTGAAGTTATGTAACAAACTGAATTTACTAAGTATTGTAATGTTTTTTGGAAAGTTGAAAATACATTTCTCTACATCTCAGAGGTAAATATTGTACTTTTACGTTCACCAGATTTATTTTAAAGGTGGGGTAGGTAATTTTGGAGAAACCAGCTCGAGTGCGCTAGAATTTGAAAATACACAACCGGTGTAGGTACCATATCTGCTCGGGGTACCACCAAGCATATATGGCACCGAGAGCAGATATGGGACAGACACCGGGAAAAATCTGCCCCTTCCTTACAGAGCCCCTCCTCCAACACACACGAACGCGCACATGACCAATGAGGGCACAAGATAAGTTTGTGCACAGATGGAAGGCTGACAGG